TGTCATTACTTTCATATGGTAAAGTTCCTGAAGGCAGAATTGTACTTTCATGTTGTAAGGAGCACAGAGAAGGTTCTTATTTCTGTGAAGAAACGTTATCTGGGAGCTTTTCCCCAAACTTGGAGTCTCTGTTAGTAACAATGTCAGGTGCAAGCAAACAAGAACTCCCACACGTTAAGAGTTTGGAATTTACATTAGCAGTATCACTTTAAGATATTGAAAGAAAGCATTCCACCAACTCTTGTAGGTATTTTACTTTCTTCATTTCACTCAATCCAAACATGCCAGTCAGTTTGATGAATATTTTAAGTGGGAAGGATATGGTGAGTGTTTGTTTGGAGTCAACACTCCTCAGATAGTCACATCTGGGCCCCATGCACACACAGACCTATCCCAGCACAGATTTTAAATACTATCTTTATTAGCCAGTATGACCCTTCTGTTACTGTTCAAGAGAAAACAAATGGGCAGCTTATGTCCATTCAACTGCCTACTGCAACCATAAAGTGTAACAACTGTGAAAACTGGAGAATGTTAAATGCCTTTAAAAAGATCCATATTCTGATTTATACACCCGCACACGTATCTATTTACATACACACACAGAGTCTCTCTGAACACTGCAAACTGGAAATTATATTGTACACAAATCCATGTAGCATAAGTCAGCACAGATTCTGCTCCCCCACTAGGCACTATGTCTTTTCAGATTCATTACCTGAAATATTGCTAATTAGAAACTGCGATTGCTTCTTTTCCCAGGATCAGTTTAAGGAGCTCTCTTAGATTAGTTTAAGGATCTCTTAGAGAGACAGATGGAGGATGAAGAATACACAGTCATGACAATTCTAAACAGTACATATATATATGCAAGATAAAATACTTAAATAAGACTTCTTATAAGCCAAAATGGTGTAAAATTTAACATTTGTTTTAAACTACACACAACCGGGAGTAACTGCTTAGGTTCTTTGAAACGGGAGGATTCTGAAGAAATTAAGAGGATCAGATGATTCATTTTCTAGAGGTTTTAATTCCCTGTTCTTACAGACTGGCAATCATGCAAGTTACAAGATTCAGTCATGGGGTTTAAATTCAGAGAATTATTTTGTTATTTGTAAAACTTCTTGGAGGAGGTCAAGATAAGAACACTAGTATGTCAGAGGGTTCTTAACAGAAAAATGTCACAAAATGGAGAGTGAACTTTGGATAGAAATTCCCAAATTTCACACATGTTCTTTAGATAAGATTAGCAACTTCCTCACTGCGGGAAGTAAGTGTTGGTAGATGAGTCCCAGAAATTTAGGACTTTCTTTCCATGCTTCAGAGACGCCCATCCCAGTTTTCAAGAGCTAGCCTTCCAGAAAGGAAAAAGGAAGAGGGAGGGAAAAAAAGGAAAAAGGAAGAGGGAGGGAAAAAAAGGAAAAAGGAAGAGGGAGGGAAAAAAAGGAAAAAGGAAGAGGGAGAGAAAAAAAGGAAAAGAAAAAAAAAAGACTCTCGGAAGTCTTTGACCACGGTGAGCTGGCATATCTCGAGCTGTCCGCAGTTCGAAGGTCTATGCAAAGGCTAGTTCAAACCAAACTGTGCAGTCACAAGCATCAGAATGTCAGAGCACCCTTTGGATCAGAACTCACCCGACACCCAGACACCAGCAGGATCTAGACTGCGCGCTCTTGTGGCATCCTGATCAGAGGAGGAGAAAGTCAAGAGGTCTGATTAACCATGGAGCTATGATCCAGGCGGGAGATGCAATGTGGAGCAGAAGGGAAGCAGAGGGGGTGTCTCCCGAAGCGTTCCCAACTCCCTTCAGCTACATGTACGGAAAGGCATTCTGTTGAAGGGGTAACAGTCCTCTGATCTCTTTACTACCTTAACCTTTTAGCTGCCCCTTCTGTACGGGCTACATCTCTAAAACAAATCTGACATCAAGAAACACCTGCACAAGAAATTAAATCTATCCAAAGGTGGTTAGAAGGAAGAAGCATCTCCCATTTACTCCATGACCCACGACCCAGGAATTCAAGCCTATTTGATCTGGGCTAGCATTCTGACAGAGCACCCATTTAGAGCTAGCTACACAGAAGGCATCCTACTTCTTAAGGACAATGACAAAGACGTTATGGCTGAACAAAGTAAAATGGTCAATAGGCACTTCAGTTATACTGAGACACATTCACAATCACAATCCCTCTCAAATTTACCACCACATCACCTTCTGATTTCTCATGAAAGTAGAAGCATTCCTCAGCCATGTGCAAAAAAGCGCAGAATTTTACCAGGATCACAGGGTACCACTGCCAAGGGATGTCTGCATTTGAAATGATGGTGCTCTTCCCCTCTCATTGAGGCTGACCAATGCCACAGCGCTGTGCCTTAGGACACTGCCTTTCTAAAGACAAACTTAGCAGGAGTGGAAATATGAGTGGAAGTGCTCAGGCCATTTAAAAGTTTTTAAAGAACAAATGAGCCAAATTCCACTTAACTGATTACATTCTTACAGGTTAAAAAATCTGTTCCCACTCCAAATGGAGACAGATACCTGTCTTTTTCATGTCCTTGTCTAAACTATTGCCTAGTACATATGTGATGGACTGAAACCATTCCTATGAATAAATAAATAATTTTTTTTCCTAAAAGACAGGCTTTTGCCAATACGCTGCTTTTTCTTGATCACAGCTGACATCATTTCCAAGACCCTGCAAGATTAATTCTCCTTCTCACTTCATTTAGTACCCATGCAGTCTTTTGATGCATACTTCTCACATCCTCTCGGGGTACATCCTCTACTAAAGCACAAACTGACGCACTGAACAGACCCTTCAGGACCTATTATGTGCTCCTCTCAGGAATGAGGCACCGCTTTTGCAACAACTACATTTCAGAGAGAGCTGGCTCATCTCCCCGCACTGCTGTAGCCCGAGACTGCACTGAGGCAGTTAATTTGCAAAGAAGGAATTTCTCCTGACTCACATTGTTATCCCAACACTCCCCAAATTCCTCAGACTGAAAAAAAAAAAAAAAATAATACAGAAAGAACCCCCTGCTGCCCCAAGAAAGCATTCTTCATCAGAGTAGCAAGTTCACTTTAATCAGCGGAGGCAGCTTAAACCCAAGTTCATGGCAGATCTAAGCTGCCATAGAAATGTGTTTTTGAAGAGAAACATTATGGGAAGCTTCACAAAGTTGTTCTGTGATCCTAATATGAAGTAATAAGCTGTTTACCCAGCATGACTGTACTGGGATTAATTGACAAAGGAGGGGAGATTAATTGCTATTATTTCCCTGTCAGCTTCACTCCTCCACATGCACTCAGTGATCTCACAGGCTGCTCCCAGCCTTTCACTGTGTTAATGTGTCAGAACTACCTCAGCTGAGACAAAGTCCTTTGCCAAAAGCAATATCCAGAAGAGCAACCTGCTTCTAATCCCCTTCAAGTACTAATGAACCCAAATTTGATGCAACAGAATGAACTCTAGCACTCCTTTGCCCATCATCCTGTGTTTCTGTCAGCTTCTCTGCCCATGAGCATGCTAAGAACTGGAAAGGATTAAACAGATCTGCAGTCTGGCAAAGCACAATGAAATTCTGAACTCTGTGAGGGTGCTGGAGCACTGATGGAGGAAAAGGGAACAAGGCACATAGGTGTGTGGGAATTCTGACAAGTAGGATAAACTTTAAACCATCTCTTTGCACAAGATCTCAGTTCATGAGTACAGCCTTGTAACTACCCAAGAAAGTAGCAATAAAGAGCTTAGATAAAAGCCTGTTTTCAAAGATCTCACCTACAAAAGTAAATTGGTTTTGGCCTAGCCTAAATTAGGAATCCAAAGCAAATGAGACAGGCCAGAAAACCCTGCAAAGAATTCAGCCCAGTTACAGAAGGTGTTAACTAGGAGTTCATCGGAGATTCTGGGAATGAAAGTACCTGTGAAATGGGTCCTCCCAGGAAAGAGCGGGACAGAGTTACACCAACATAGCTCAACCACTATAACCACAGAAGGAAAACGGAAAACTTTGCCATGCAATAAAAGCCTAAGACAGCCTCTGGAATGCTGCTACCTGCTGTTGCAAGAAGTTAAAGGTTTTCTTCTGGCTTCAAGTTTTTCTTTTTCCCACGAGATGGCAGCCTAGTAACACTGCGGAAAGGTTACATCCACCTCCAAAATACATAATTACAAGATTGTGGTGGGGACCACCTTTCTTATAAACTACTTTTTGGTGTTAAATTGCTCAAAACAGAGCGTACACGTGGAATTTAAAGTTGCAGAGGACTGAGAACGAATATTTTGAACTAAGATCAGGTTTGGTATCAGTTAGCAGTGTACCTTCCCAAGAGCCTTGATGTGCAATATTCACTATCACCTAGCTTCTCAGCTAGAAAACTGAGACCCATTAGGGTCAGGCAGGGCATTTGTGTAAGAATCCAGACTCCCCATTCCCTTGTAAACAGAGAAGACTTCATCTGCTCACCACACAAAGACCTTTTGACCTCCCAACATAGCAGATTACCCCCTTCAGCCAAAAATTGCTGGCTCTTATCATCCAGGGGTGTTAGGGAATGGAGGTGTTTTACAGATCCAATCAGCTACAGTCAGTAGCTTGTGACAACTAGAATGTTAAGCATCCGTTTTTTATCTGAAGGCTGGTTTTGTTCACCTTCATAGTACATGTACAAAAAAGCCCACAGTTCCCGCAGTGGACTTTCACTCCAGGATACAGATCCCCTAGATACTCTGATCTTAGACTCTTCTACATAGTTGACCTTATGTCTCAAAATCTAGTTCATAGCCTGTCAACTTACTTGACCAAAATCACGTAGCTTTCCCATGGCATTTGAGTCCTGAATTGCAGACAGCCTGCTGCACCACCACCACACTCCTCACAGTTCCTCTCAGTCCTCCTCAGCAGCCTGGGGTACCCAGCACTGGAACCCAGTCCAGCAGCTCAGCGTTAGTTAACCAGAAGGGCCTGATTCCAGCCACCCCCTTCACCAACATTACCTGAGTAACCTGGGAGGCAATGACAAAGGAAGCCGTTAACATGGTCCACGCAGAGCCCTCCATTCTGACACGGCTGGGACTCACACTCATCAACGTTAGTAAAGCAGGTCTCCCCTTTGAAGTGAAAACACAAGTAGGCATCTTAAGTGCACACATGCATCAGCCAAGGAAAGAATCTGAATTACAACTGCATACATAATTTTTTGCGCTTCTTTTCTGTCATCTAAAAATGCAAAATAATTCCTCGAACCACAGCATGGCTCGCCAGATGCTCTGGCAAATAGATACTATCACTGAAACAATTAGGGAGAATGAAGTAGAAAAAGGTCAAATGATTTTCCAGTGTCATGAAAGGGAGCAGTGGCAGGATCAGAACTTCTGAACCATTCCCATCTGTGCAACAGTGGGACAAAATCTCATTTTTCTCTCTCTCAAAAAAAAAAAGTATTATTGTTTAGCCCCTCCTAGCAGGGAATTTCCCCAGCTGTTAAATCCAGCCTTTTATACATATCTATAAACCAGGGAAAGGGCGATACTTCAGCTGAACATCCACAGAGCTTCCAACTCCAAGAGCAAGATATCAAGAAGCTCCTCCTCTCCTACCCACTCTGATGGTAGCTGCTGTCATGAGAGTGGCCTCATCAAGGAAACACCTAGAATAGTTATCTGGGACTCCAGGGAATTAGTTTTCTCTGATGAGGAATTTCACAGATACCCTGTAGGGATGAACTCTGACATATGCATGAGAGGCTGACAAACCACCTTGGCATCTGCATAGCCAGAGGGCGTTCATCAAAGCACTTGGAAAACGCACAGGCTGTTGCCTCAGCCTTGAGGCAGGCTTGCTGGCCAGAGAACCACGCTCAGACAGCTTCTGCAATCTAGTCATACGCTGAGAACAGAAGCACATTCCTGGTGCATCAGGCTGTCAGCCCCTCTGAGGCTGTCGGCCCCTCTGAAGTACCAACACTTAAGTGATTCTTGTTGCACAGGAAACATTGCTCCGTTCCTACCACTCAAACCACGCAGCATCCATAGGTGCAGACAGGATGAATATTTGCTGCATAGCTCACCTGCAAAACCCGGCTGGCACCAACAGAGAAAACCAGCTGCTTGGCTGTAGCTGAAATTACTGGGGAAGTCAGGTCGTGTCCCATAATAGGCTTGGTTGGATCGCTCAAAGCATACACCTCCGTTGTGACACGGATCTGTCGCACACTCATCCACATCCTCTTCACAGTGCTGCCCTGTGTAACCTGCCAGGAGATATCTGTGTCAACATCAGGCACAATTTCACTGGAACTAGTCTCCCAAATATTATGGCTGCCTTGAAGGTGAGAATAAGACCCAGAAGACACGGCAGCTCATCTAGTAGAGAGTCCAAAGGGCCTCCACTTTCTCCGATATGTCAAACACAGGAGCCAAGTAATCAATTTGCAGGAAAGCATTACCTCATGATAGAGAAACACATGATGGAAAAGGCAGAAAATTTTACGGTTGAGAATCAGGGTACATTTCCCAGCAACGAGGTCAATTAGACTTTGGGATGGCCTGTAAAGGGAGCAGTGGCAGCCTCACTGTTTCAGACAATGAAAAATCACACTGGACCAGGCAGTACGATCATTAATTCTTGACTTCTTCAATGTGGCCATTTACCACGCCCTCTCCATCGCAGTGTGCCTACATGCCAGCACAGCAAAACAGACTTCTCACCCACCTGGCCAGCAGGCACAGCTGTAGTTTTTGATTCCCTCCACGCATGTGGCACTGTTCAAACAGGGTTCAGAGGCACACTCCAGGATATCCAACTCACAGTGGTCCCCCTCGAAGCCTGTGTCACTGCAGTCACAACGGTAGCTGTGGGGCAACAAAACAGAGCAACGCATACACTCTTAATTTGACCGCAAAGCCCCGCACGAGGAAAGAGCAAATGGAGATAAGTGTCAGTCCTCATACCCACTTGTGGGGCAGAGGAAAAAGACAGTTCCATCTGCATGAACAGGCCACACTAATGACAGACAACCCTCAGCAGCCCCCAAGTTCACTCACACCTTACCTGTGAAAGGGTAAATTCAGACACACAGGTACGTTCTCAGCAGTTGCCTCTGCTGTTCCTGCTCTGCAAATCACTTCCCTTTATATCTGGTGTGTCAGCTGGAAGCACTAACAGGAATCTTTTCCTACCTTCCTTTACGCATCCTAGGCATTCTGCTACTGGGACGGGCCTTCTTACTTATTGCCATAAATCACTCAGTTACTGCCACTGGGACCACTGGGGCGTACACCTAACTAAATCCAGTTCCCCCCCCCAGATTTCTACTCTAATTTTCACAGGTCAGCCCTGGTATCTAACGGCCCAAACAACACTGATTTCCCACCTGTTAATGAGGTCATGACACGTCCCGTTGTTCTGGCATGGCTGGCTCACACATTCGTTGATGTCCACCTCACAGTGAATTCCTTGGTAACCTGGTGCACAGGTGCAGGTGTAGAACCCAACGTGATCATTGCACAAGGCCCCATTCTGGCAAGGGTCTGAATCACACTCATCTATTTCAGCATCACAGTTCATACCTTTGTTACAAAACAGAGAAATATCTGTGTTACGAATCCAGAAAAGTATATCTGAGCTGCCTGGACTTCTCAGCTGGAATTGCAAAAGCCATGTTATCAAGTTAAACTGGCTAGCATAGCGATCTGTTCCGATTTTGCCCTAAGAGTATTGGGAGCTCACGAACAGCAAATTAGGACCTTGAATTCTTATTTGCAAACAAAATTATTTTGTCTAGACTTTTGGATTTTAGTCTTCTATCAAAATTAGAAATGGTTTCCAGTATTTACAAAGCTTTAGCCTCTTTCATTCAGGTTTGCTGAAAAAGCCAATCTCTCAGCACTTCACAAAGAACATCCATTTTCTGAGTAAGGCAGAAAATCTTGATCTTACATTCAGTTCTTAAAAATCTAACGATAGCTGTTTTGGTTTGGGATCCTTTGAGGGCAGGGAGGACAGGGATGGGCAGAGAAGAATCACACTGCTAGTCAGTGTTAATTAAACTGTTACACGTGACACAGCTCTTACAGTTTTAGTTAGACATGGTACTCTTCACTTGTGTTGCGTTGCTATTAATCAGATCCAGTGTTCTACATCAGAGGCAGTTGCATTTTGGGTATGGGAAAAGTGATCTCTACCTGCTTCTCCAAAACACTGTTCCATTTGTTTAAATAATATTTGTAACTTGCCTTGAGATACCTAGGAAAAAAGCATTAAAGCAGTGCAAAACGCTAATTATAGTGCTATTAGACATTAGTAAGTAATTTTATTATGAAATGCTATTAAAAATTAGGTGTCAGCTCCAATACTACTAGTCAAGAATAACAGCAAGTCTCTCATTTTTAGTCCAAAGTCTCAACTTCCCCTGACAGAATAAGACCTCCTGTGCAACTTCTATGCAACTATCCTACCATACTATATTCCACCTCTTTGAGTTGTCCATGGCCTGGCATCACCCCCAAACCTTAGTCATTACAGTGGCACCTGCCAATCCATCTAATCTCCTCTTGTCGGCAAAGGCTCACCACACAGTGGACACATCCTAATCCTGACGGAATGTGGGCCCCCTAATCTGCTGGTTCAAACCCGTCAATACCCACACAAAACTTCCTTCACCCAAATTCCAGCCGCAAGCACCAGGAAACAACCTGTCTTTGCTAGCCAATGGTGCTAGAACCTCTGGATGAAGCGTGAGATCATAAAGTAAAGCCTCATATTTGACACCAGAACAACTTGGAGCACAACAGACTTCTCCAGCTGCCTGGGTCATTTTATCACTTCCTTGGCAGGGGAATCCCACAATCCAGAATTGAGAATTCAGCATAAAGATAAGAAACAAACTGATTTGCAAAGACAGAATTATGCTTGATACAGAAATTCTGCTTTTTTTCTCCTTCATCTCTGTTCATTTTTATCAGAGAGTGAGTCAGCATCAGAGACTGCATTCCTGATGTTGTAACTTCTCCTCATTCCAGCAGTAATCAGCAGCATTCCTTCATAGCAACCTAGCTCTTTAAACACTTCAGTCTGTGACAACGAGGAAGGCTGAGAAAGTTCATGTGCTAGGTGGTACCAGGCAGACGTGGGCGCAGTACAGTTGCATTCCACTCTGATAAGCAGGGCTGGAGAGAGGAGAACCCCCCACTGCCTCCCTCACAGATAACTCACAGGTGCAGATTACTCCCTCAGTCACCATTAGCACAGATGCATAAAAAAAAAAAAACCAAAAAGAAACCCCAAAAAACAAAACAAGAGAGAAGATACTCATGTCACATGTCAAAAAACCTTCACTGGAAGAGAAAGAATTGGAAAAGAAATCTCCAACTAAAAGCCTCTTTGTTCCAAAGAGACTACTTCCCTCAGAGAAATCCTGCAGGACAGGACAAAGAACTACAGGCCAGATAGGCAGAGATAAGTTATACCTGGAAACACCAAATATACATCTCAGAATCACAGAATATTTGGGCTGGAAGGGACCTTTGAAGGCCATCTAGTCCAACCCCTGTGCAGTGAGCAGGGACATCTTTAGCTGGATCAGGTTGCTCAGAGCCCTGTCCAACCTGGCCTTGAATGTTTCTAGGGATGGGGCTTCTACCACCGCTCTGGGCAGCCTGTGCCAGCATTTCACCACCCTCATCATAAAAAATTTCTTCCTTTCTCTAGTGTAAATGTACCCTCATTTCCTGATAATAAATCTTGTCTTGTATATCTCCCTTAATTTTGTACTGAGAGCTAATCACATCTACTTTGTGCCTAGCACTCAAGTCCCAGACAGTCCACCCACTTCCACTCGTAGATCCACGTCTCTCAACATCCACACCATCCATGGAAATCAAAGCCCCAACTATTGCCCGGATGCCGCCACGACAAGCCCTACACCATTATTCGCATGCAGTACCAAACACTCCAGAAAGATGAGCTGTGCAACACAGATTTAGTCTCACAGCTGTAAAACCACAGCTTCTCAGGACAGCTACTAACACTACGAGACGCAGCAGCAGCAGGAGGCATATTGTGGAAGTACACGAACAGCAAGACGTAACCCAACCACCCGGCCTGTACATGAGCATGAAAGGTACCTGTGTAGCCGGGGACGCACTTGCACAAATAGTGATCCATCTCATTCAGGCAGGTGCCATTGTTTTTACAGGGCCGGGACGCACACTCGTTGATGTCTATTTCACAGTTGTATCCTTGGAACCCAGGCACACAGAAACAGCTATACTCATTCACCCTGTCTCGGCAGATGGCTCCGTTCTGGCAGGGGTTGGAGGCGCACTCATCAAGGTTGTCTCTGCAGTTGGCCCCGGTGAAGCCAGGCTGGCAGATGCAGGTATAGTCCCCAGGACCCTCGACACATGTCCCGTTATTTAGGCAGGGGTGGCTAGAGCACACAGAGCTTTCTGTTTGGCAGCCTTCTCCATTCAGTCCTGTTTGGCATTTACAGGTGTATCCATTTACACTATCTACACATTCAAAACGAGGATCTTTACAAGGGTTGCTCTCACACTCATTAATATTAACGTTACAATCAATACCTGTGAAGCCAGGCATACAGGTGCATTCATATTCCAGGAGTCCTGGAGTCCCGTTGCAAATCCTATGGGCAGGACACTCATGCTTAACGCACGCATCATAGAGGTGTTCACAGTTTATGCCCATGTAGGCTACCGGCTCCATGGGGCAGGTACACTGGTAACCCACTTCCAAATCCTTACAGCTCCCGCCATTTTCACATGGGGATGAGGAACAGCTGCCATCATTTTCAGAGTATGAAGTTCCTGTTGAGAAAAGAGACTTTGTTAGTCAACATTCGTAGCCCTAAAGAAGAAAATTCTTCTGCTGATTACCACGTACAACTCAAGAGATTGCCCACCCACATTCCACACTACAAGGGGCTTTTCTAGCCATTAGCTGAGAAGGATGCTGGAGAATCAAACATTTACTATAAAGAAGACAACACAACATGCCTTCATACTGTGGCAATCGGGAACTTCTTCCTGTCAGGTGACTAGATGTCTGTTTGTTAGGAGGCACTCACAAACCAGCTGTTTCACTTGTGCTTATTCATCCCAGAGTCACTTTGAGAGCAGTGAAACATATCACCTTAATTCCATTCACAAGATGAACTTTCTGTAAAATTCAATGACCCCTTTTCACCAGTAAGGCACAGGACTTGTGCTTGGAAATCTAGAGAGGCAGGCATTATGTTTTAAGATATTGGCTGTGGCTCTTAATGTCCCAGCTGCTCCTTCTGGGGATTTGAAGTTGCTGCCATAAACATTCCAACCCAAACTCCAAACCAGCACATTTCACACAGTCTCCGAATACATCGAGAAGCTCAGAGTTTGATAACCACCGGCCAGGCACCCTCTCCCCACAGGTTAGTCAGGTAAATGTACACAACAGTGAAATTTTTAGGGGTTAGAACAGCAAAGAAAAGCAGAGATTGATGAGATTCACTGTACTAGTGGCATTTTAGATCCAAACTCTTAGTATCTGCAGAGCCAAGACACCAGTCTAATGTCCAGATACCAGCAACTAATGTTAAGACCAGATTCCCCTAAATCTGACAGCATTCGGATGTGATCAATTTATTCACACCCAGCCACACCACCTTGCTGTCCCCAAAACGGCAGTGTTTAAAAAGCTTTTGCCCCATTAAGCAATTCCACCATCCAGGAATGTGATGGGACATGCCCATGGGACTGCAAATTCATATAAACGAGATTATACAGGATATATGATATATTAAAAAAAAAAAAAACAAACAAACAAACCCCAAAAAAATTTCAATGTAGGTATTTGGGAATGGAGCAGAATGAAAGAATAGGAGGAATCCTCATTTCATTTCCAAAAGAAATTTCAGATTCACTTTGTGAAACATTCTGGTCAAAGGGCAGAATAGCCCAAGGGACCTTAGATAGTTGCCTTGATATTAGAATTAGGATATATGCCCTGCACTCAATGACACAATTATACACTTTCCAAAGGAAAAAAAAAAAATAGTAAAAAGGGACAAACAGAGAACTTCTCCCTTCACAAAGACAGCAGTCATTAGCCCCTCATCCCACTGCCGCTTTCTGATATCAGTGTTTGGTTCTGCTCCACGCCAGGATACACAGGAGAGAAGCCCTGGGGTAGCGATACCCCAAACTGATTCCTCCGTAAGTGTTATGAAACATCCAAACTTGGAAGTAACTCTGCAAACAACTATAGAGCAGATGTGTTGAAAATGTCTATGAAAAACGGCCACAAAGCAGCGGTAAAGCTCATTAAATAGCAAATGGTATCTGAGAAGTAGCTGCTGCTTCTGGTGAGCCCTGACTTTGCCTAGCATTGGAAGCCAAGCCATCCCTAGCATTTAACCCTGGGTTTAGATGCCACGGTGTAAGCAGCTCTGCCCTTTTTGCTGCCTTCTGTATGGAACGGTGGGGCCAGCTGGCAACAGGAATCAGTCTCTGGGAAATCCCACAAAACTGCAGGTGGAGAGCGGGCAGTTACTCTGACACTACCCACAGCTCACCACCCTTGGCCCTCGCTGCACTACTGCTAGTTGGGAAACGTTGTTTTAACGTGCCATGCTCCGTGCTAAGGATCTGCCAGGATCACACACCACAGCATCGCTTCGCAGCTGACCTTACACATTCTCTCATTCATGCCATCGTTATCCCAGCCCATTTTTGGTCATGTTTGCCTTGCTCTGGTGCACCTTCTACACACCCAGTAGTTAATCTGTGTCAGTTGTTTTCTATCAACTCACTGCCCCATCAGCTCCTCGGTCTCTTTTGTACCTGAAGGTGGAGGCATCTGACTTCAGGGCCTGAAAGGGATTTATAGGAGACTCTGGTTTACAAAAGCCTGCCCCTGCCCTGACCTCCCTCAAATTCCTCCCACGAAAAGACTGTAGTGTTTCTAAGTCTTCTTTTAAGAGGCAGTGTTGATGGGGGAGGGAGGGTGCTCAGGGATTTAGACAGCCCTTTTCTCTTCCCAGCAGCATCTCTGCTGCCCACCCCTCCATTCCTCTCTCATGTGATGCTGGGGAGAGTTGCTGAGCATTGCACTGTCCAGCAATCTCATTATTCTGCCATCAACCCTTTTATTCTCAGATTCCCAGTCAGGCAGAAAACAAGGATGACGGAATCTGCCTGGAATCTCTGTAGCAATTAGAGTGGGAGCCCAGGAAACTATTCGCAAAAGAGCTTTTCCAGGCAGGAGATATGAGCCTTTGTACGCTTAATGAGTAACCAGCCCCAGCCTGCACTTTCCACAGGCCAGGAGCACGGGCTATGATAAAAAACCCAAGTCCACTGCATGTTCAGAACAACTTCTCTGATTTGCAGATGACTCCATCTACAAATAAATTCACATTTCAACAGAATCACCTAGTGTAGACAGGCTGAAGTCATTTCAAAGGCTACATGCGTAGTTTTTGGCTTCCATTCCAAGTATACTGTCTAAATGCTTCTTGCAAATAAAGATAAACATCAAATCCCTTTGCCATTTCCTGTCTTTTCCAAAGTTCTTTCACAAGACAGACATACCTTTTTGTACCTTCTCTACTTTGGTTCACCATATGACTGCAATGCTCCATAATCTGTGTTAGTCAGTAATGCCTGCCCATTACAAAAAGATTTGGTGACAATATATGGTCCCATAGTCACACACAAACCTGCAGACACAGCAGGGCTGAACTACAGACAGATACCAAGTCAAGAAACACAAAGCTTCACTAAGAAGTCAAAAAGCCCTCTTGGCTTACCAAAAAAGAGCAGTATAATGATAGTGAGAACTCCAGTCTTCTCGGAACTCACTATGACCGTGAACAGCAGCAGAGGTTAACTAGTTACATGTACTTGTAATCTGTGGTAACTAGTTACGTATGGGACTGCACAGAGAAAAGCTGAACTCCTGTATTGCTACTGTACCAGTTTTAGCTGTTTTCTATCACCAAATATTACCTTAGTTATGTGTAAAAGTGATTACTTC